GACAAGGGGTGCAAGGGACTGAGCCCGGGGAGGCAAGTGGGAGCTGGCGGCAAAGAGTGTGGATGTGGGGTATGCATCATGCAGGGGAAAGCTTTCCCCACTGCTGCAGGAGTTGGTGGCTTTTGGGGGAGCATGGCTAAAAGAGGCTGGATCCCCTGGCCCCTTTGCCCTCCTGGAGGGGCTGTGCCATGGGTGGGGAGGGAAGAGGCTGTTGTGGGTGCTGAGCACAGGGTTGGTTGTGGCCAGACAAGAGGACTCGAAACACATCAGAGCAAGGGATGAAAGACCTGTTGGTTGTGCACAGTGAGGGTGGGAGTGCAGAGAGCTGCAGTCTTGGCTCAGACCAAGGCTGCCACCAGACTTTGCATGGTGTCATTTGGAGTTGTTTGTCCCCGTCCCCTCTACCTCCTGGCAGGTGCTAGGGATGCTGTAAGATGAAGGGGCTGCAGATCACATCCTCCTAGATAGCTGGACCTTGGGATGGGAGCTGTGATGGGAAGATGTGGGGATAAAAGTGATCAGAGGAGCAATTAGTGGCTAAGCAGAGGGAGGGGAGGAGGGTGCTGTGCCTAGGAGGTTCTTTCAAACTCCTGGTGATAGAGGATGTCCTTGAGCTGCCTGAGATTTGCCTGGGCTGTGGCATGTCCAGGCTTTGTCCCTGTGCCTTACTGGGAGAGGTATGGATGGCATCTGGGTAATGGGTATGCTTGAGCAAGAGCTCTCTTAAGGGACACTGCCTGCAGCCAAGAGGGGCTGCTGCTCTGCTGGGGCATTTTTTGAGTGACTCCTCTGATGCCTTGGATCCACTGGTTCCTGCCATGGAGGTGGTGATGAGGACAGTGCAGGATGTGTCCCTGCACACGGGTTTTGTGGCAGGACAATGCACATGGTTGTCCCAGTCCTGCAGCCTCACCTGCTCCACTTGGGGAGCCCCTGAGCTCCACTATCCCTTGGCACCTGCATCCTGTCCCATCTTCTGCTCACAACATTTCCTGTGTGGTGTGGCCTAAGAAATTATTCTGCCAATATTTCCTTTGGGCACAGTTTGGGAGCATTGTCACAGGCTGGGGATGGGAATGGGGACAGCACTGCTGTGAGCTCTGCTCTGCGGCCCCTTGTGGCCCATGCCCCTGTCTCTTTTTGGGTCTGCCTGGCACGAGGGTTGTGCAGCCTCTCTCCTCTCTCTGGCACCAGGGAACATCCCAGCCCTGAGTCTGCTGTCTCATGGGCTGCAGGAATTGCTCGGCAGCTTTGCTGCTCCTTGTGCTCCTTGCTGTCTCGGGGTTCCCAGGCTAAGCCTGCCCATCCCACTGCCAGGACAGGGACTCTGTCTGTCCCGTGTCCCAGGTGATGCCACCTCTGATTTTAGTCCCCTAATGTCTGGCCCCAGCTGCTGCTGCAAGCACCTTGGCCCTGGTTGCACTCGGCTCTGTCACCACTGACTAATGAGTCATTTGCAGAGCTGCTGCCGGTGGGACCCATCCTGACCCTCCTGGGGTGGCTGGGGGAGCTCACTGCCTCTTCATCCTGCCAGCCTCCAGAGCAGACCCTGGAGAGCTGTGATGCCCCTGAGCAGGAGGTGGCGCTGCCTGAGGCTAGGTGCTGTGGAGGGGGAGCAGAGCTGGGGGCTGGACAACCCTGCCTGAAGTTTAGCCCTGCATGGGGATGATTGTGAACCACAGGTTGTAGGGGCATCTGAGCTCAGCACTGCTGCCCAGATGGACCGAGAGCCATGGCTTGGTAGAGGGAGCTTGGGGACACACATCAGGGGTCCCAGGAAAAGGTGATGCTCTTGAAGGGGATGAAGGCTCTTCTACTGAGAAGAGAATGTTCTGGGAACTGCTGACCCCTTCCCCATGCTCTCCTGGGTCTGCACTGACCCATCTTCTGGCTCATCTCTCTCTCCCCTGGCTGGGGTTTGCCCTCGTGCTTCTTGGCTAGGCTATCCAAAAAGGCAGGGGGTCCTCTTGCGCCACTGCTTTCTGAAACCCAGCTCTTTTTCTAGGACAAGGTGCTGAGGCAGATTGTCCCTGAGTACTGTCTCTTCCTGACCTTCCAGCTGACCTGGCATTGCCCCTCGGGGCCAAGCAGGGGCTGTGGGAGCTGTGTAACACACCCCATGGCTGCTGGTGCTCTGCTCTCATCCTGGAATGGTGCCATGCCTGGGTGCTGAGCTGGGAACACTGGACGGGTCTCACTGCCATGGGACACACGTCTTCCACCCATCATGATGATGCATTTATTGATGGGTTACTGAGAGTGAAGGGGGGAGTTTTGTCACTCCCTGTTGGTTTGTTATTGTGGTGTCTTTTCCAGCAGGAGGGTGATGTGGAAGGGGTGGGTTGGTCTCCCCAGCCAGCTGCCACTGTGAGGGTGCTGGTGGCTGTGGCTCTGTGGGAAGGGCAGGAATGTGGTTATGCATTGGGCTGATTCTGGCTCCTGCTTTCTCGCTGGGGAGGCCGCAGAGCAGCCTAGGATTGTGTCCCCTGACATGGAGGCACTAGCTGCATTCAGTCCCCAAGGAGACATCATTGGCTGCTGGTGGCTCAATACAAAGCGGTCCACAGCCATCCCACTGGCAGTCACTGCTGGATTCACAGATCTACCCTCTGTGGGCCCCTTCAGAGCCAGTGTCCAGCAGCCTCTGGGATTCATTTCAATAGCGTGGGGAGGTGGGGAGGGGAAATCCCTTCCCCCTTTGGTGCCAGTAAGGATGGAGGCTCAGTTTGTGAGCGTGTGGGCTTGAAAGTCCCTGGGCTGTGGAGTGATGCACAGGGAGTGCCAAGCCACTTAACCAGGCAGACCTCCCGCTGCAGGTACAGCCCTGCCAGCCCCTTCTGTCGGCTTGTTTTGTGCCAGGGGTGGGGGCGGAGTGACAGCTGGAATAGGAGCTGTTGCTGGCACGGACGGGGCTTTGTGCTGCGGATGTCCCGAGTGCCCCCCAGGGCTGCGCTCCACTCCCCGTCTTTGGGCAGAGCTGTTTCCCAGCTGGGGGGAGCCCAGGGAGCCCCCAGGCTTAGTCACAGTTTGGATGCTGGAGACAGAAAGGGGATGGTGCATCCTCCCAAGCCAAGGCCTTGGGTGCACCAAAGCCAGGACAGCAAAACCCCAGCCCTGGTCACCCCTCTCCTGTTGTTAAGCTGCATGTGCTGAACGTGCTCCCTCCCCTGCACCAGGGCCCCTGGAATTGGGCCCTCTTTGGTTTCCTCCTTAAGAAAACACCCATGTTCTTTATTTTTTTTTTTCTTTTTCCTTCTTTATAACAAACTAAAGTGTAACTTGCACCCGACCTGACCTACTGCACGTGCCTATACCTGCTGCCCCTGTGAGTCCAACCACAGTTTACTCTCTGTTGCATCTCTCTCGCTATGTGGTTTCCCTCCCACCCTGCTCCCTGCCCCAGTCCGTCACCCTGGCGTTGAGTGTTGCTCTGCCTACCCCATCCCTTCTCCCTGGATGAAGGGGCTGCTCCTGCCTACCGGGTCTGTTCCCACAGCTCAGCTCTGCTGGAGGGACCTGGCCCCAGAGCATCCTTGGAAGGCTGAAAGGTGCAATTTCCCTTTCCCTCTGCACATTAAAGCCCTGGAAAAGTAGCTGGGCCAAAATCATGTTTTATGCACAATTGATGCTCACTTCTAGGAAGGGAAAAGCCTCGTTCCTCACCTGCCTGCAAACTCCAGGGCAAACAGGAGTCTGCTGGGACAATGGCCTCCTGGAGCTGTTCTCCAGCTCCCAGAGTGATGGATCTGCCTGCTGCCTTGGTGTGAGCTCAAAGGGTCCCAGGTCCTGCCTGTGAGCATTTGGGGACTGACCTGCCTGGCAGGGGCTGCTGAATGCAGACCCACGTCGCTATCCTGGAGCTGGGTACCTTGCAGCACCACTTCCCCAGCACCTGGGGCTCAGCCCCTCAAGGCAGAGAAAGCTACCTGAGAAGCCCCATCTGCCAGTCCCCTAGAGGAAACAACCCAAAAATTAGGGACCAGGACTCATAGGTGTCATGACCTGCTGCTTGCAGATGTCCAAGGCACTTGCAGCAAACGCGGTGTCATCAGAGTGACGAAGAGACTTTGCACCTTTCGTCACATTGGTGCCCCTTGCTGCTGTCTGCCTCCCTTTGGGAGCTGGAGCCCAGCACAGCCTTCCTCCCCTCCTCTTCCTCCCCTCCCCACCTGCAGTGTTGGTCCTGTGCTGAGTTTGCTGGCTTGAGGCACTGTGGGGCCCTGCGGGAAGGGAGGGAGAAGGTCTGCGGCCATGGGGCAGCACCAGCTGGGAGAACTGGGGCTGAGTGAAGCCATAGGGGTCTGGATGGGGGAATAGGGGGTGGCAGGGGAGGCTCTGCAGTTGCAGCACCTGCTATTCATGCAGCACCAAGGAGCAGGCTGGTGTGGGGATCTGCTGGCCCTGCCCCATAGCCTGGCCGAGGCAAAGCCCGGAGCCTCGTTCCCCTTCTGGCTGTCTCAAAGCAGTTCCCTGGGCTCGGTTCCGCTGCCGCGCGGGGCGGGGGTGCATGGACAGCCTGGGTGGCATGGCTGGCTTGGGCACAAGCTTCGCGTTCAGCCGTCGGCTGGCACCAGGATCAAACCCTGCCCCAGGCTCTGGCAGGGGATGCAGCCCCCGGCTTGTCCACAGGCTGTTTCTGGGGCTCCATCCCACCCTGCGCAGCCTGGTGGGGAGGGAAGGGTTCCCAAGGAGCAGGTATTTGGCATGCTCTGAAGGGGAGGAGTAGAGGTGCTGGGTGAAAGTAGCTCAGCAGGGTTGCCCCTTTGCCGTCCCCATCTTAAGGAGGGAAAGTCCGGTGCCGGGTTTGTGCTGGGATGAAGCCGAAAGGCTGAGCAGAGCCTGGGCTGGGCTGTGCCCTCCCGCTCCTCTGGCCTCACGCTGCATGTGCTGCCTTTGGCCCTGCTCGCCCGCGCCGGGTGCCCGACCCTGCTGCCCGCCAGGTCTGGGGGCCGCTGCTCTGTTAACTCTTCTTCTGCTTGGTGACTCCTTCTTTCTTCCAGGCAACCCGCCAGGCCAAACTAAAAAAGCGCTGAAGCAGCGATTCCTCAAACTGCTGCCCTGCTGCCGGCCCAAATCCATCCCCTCGCTCAGCGAAAGCAAGTGCTTCTTCTTGCCTTTGTGTGTGTGTGTCCCCGGCGGTGCTGCTGCCTGCCCTCCGCCCTGGCCCTGCCCGCGGGAAGGGGACGCCTCCCCTGGGTTTGGGGCTGCCAGGATCAGTCCTGCCCCTTCAGAGGGGTCTGATCCGATGGACTCTGCACCCACCTCTGTCCTCGCCTGCTTCCAGGCTGGTGTTGACCCTCTACAGCTTCCCAGAGCAGCTCCAAGATGCACAGAGGCGAGACCTGCTTTGGAGCTGGCTTGGGGCAGCAGGACCCTCCCAGCGCTGATTTAAGGGCTGGGGGGTTGTTGCTCAAAGCTCACAGTTGGTCTGGAAATGAAGATATGTTGGGGGAAGGGCAAAAGGGGCTGAGCAGGGAGTGAGTGCAGAGATACCCAGAGCCCCCTACCCCCCATGCACTGAGTGTGCTTGGACCCTTGGTGAGTCTGAGCCCTTGGCCAGGGTCTCCCCTTGCCCCACGGCGCAAGCTGGTTCCCTCTGGGACGAGAGGTGAGTATGGAGGGGCAGGGGCTGCTTTGCTCCATGGAGCGGGGGTGTGGCAGGGTCTGGGGGTGCTGACTGCTGCGGGCAGCAGTCGTCCAGCTTGCCAGGTGGTGGTGAGAAGCCATCAATGAATGGGGGCACAGTGGGCAGGACGGGTCTAGACAAGGCTAAGGGTGTGCTTTGGGGCTGGGGGTTCTGGCGCACAGCTCTCCGGCTGGACATGAGCCCTGGAGCAGCACAGACCTTTGGGATGTCTGGGGTCTCAGCTCCGCAGGGCAGATGCCTGTGCTGGGGGGAGGAGAAGAGGGTGTGGGGTGTCTGTCTCAGCACTGGGAGGGTTTCACACCTCCTTTCTGCCTAGTGTGGGCTGTACCGGAGGCTGAGGGGGCTGGTGCCCCATGTCAGCCACTGGTCTGCTTCTGAGTGTCCTTGATGGCATAGACTCCACTCTGGCTGAGCAAGGCGCCCCAAAAATGTGTCGTGCTGGGCAGGTGTGAAAGGACACGGTGTGCTGCACAAGGTACCCCTCCTGCTCCCCGGCAGGGCAGGGCAGGGCAGGATGGTGCTGGCCTCAGCTGCCCTCTCTTCCCCTGGGTTCCTTGCAGACAGTGTTGAGGATGAATTTGAGCTCTCCACCGTCTGCCACCGCCCTGAGGGGCTGGAGCAGCTCCAGGAGCAGACCAAGTTCACCCGCAAAGAGCTGCAGGTCCTGTACCGAGGCTTCAAGAACGTGAGTACCCCTCAACCAGCTTTGCTAGCCCCCGCTCCACTGCCATGTCCACCTCAGAGAGTGCTTTGCACCGTGTGGTGCCCACAGTTTGCAAAGGTTTTCATGACCTTGGGGTTGAAGTTTGTATCAGGCTATGGCCTGATCTCACCTACAGGGAGCTCATTGGGGAGGTCTGATCATGTGCTCCATCTCTTGAGTGCGGAGAGCCCCCTCCCTGGGATGCAAAGCCCCTCCAGCGAGGGCTGCAGCCCACAAAATCAGGGAGGTGCCCCAAGCAGCTTTACCAGCCACCCCACCAGGCAGTGCAGAGCTGGAGGACAAGGCAAGGGGGCTGCAGGGTGTTGGGGGGATGCTCAGACCCCATCTCCACAATGGGGAGGTGATGCTACATCTTGCCCTGGCAGGAGTGCCCAAGTGGCATTGTCAATGAAGAAAACTTCAAGCAGATCTACTCACAGTTCTTCCCACAGGGAGGTGAGTGCTCATCCCCGTCCCCATCCCCATGCCTGGCATGGGTACCTCCATGGGACAGGGAGTCACACATCATGCCCTCACACTGTCCACCTCTCCCCAGACTCCAGCACCTATGCCACCTTCCTCTTCAACGCCTTCGACACCGACCACGATGGCTCTGTCAGCTTCGAGGTGAGCTGTGGCTGAGGAGGGGATGGCAGTGGGGCAGCATGGGCATGTCCTCTCAGGTACTGCAGGCCAGGCTGAGCAGTGTTGTTGTTGTGGATGGATGGAGAGCTTTGAAGGGTCTGGTGGAGGTTATTAAATTCCAAAAGGCAGTGGAGAAAGGGTGAAAAGTCACCAAAAAGGGACCTTTCTGTATTTTCTGGCTGGTGTCTTATAGGTACCCTGACTGGCAGGCACAGCCATGTTGGGTCTTGCTCAGGCTTTGGCTGAGCAGTATGTCCCAATGCACATTGTCCTCTTGGGTGCTGTGACCAAACAGACTACTGTGGTACACATTTGGGGACAAGTGATCAGTTACCTCCAAGCTCTTTTTGATACTCAACGTTTCCCTTGTCAGCCCAGCCTCTGGGCACATCTGTTTTGGGGCTGCATCCTCCCTCTGTGGGAGGGACAAGCAAAACTGTCCCCGCTGTGTCCGTGAGAGCCTTTGTGGCTGTAACTCCTGTCTGCCTGCCTTGTCCATCCTTACAGGACTTTGTGTCTGGGCTGTCCATCATCCTGCGGGGCACCATTGATGATCGCCTGAACTGGGCCTTCAACCTTTATGACCTGAACAAAGATGGCTGCATCACCAAAGAGGTGGGATGGAGGGGTCCAGGCTGCTTCTTGGGGCTAGCGCAGGTCTACACGCTGCAGGATAAGGGCAGGACTTAGAAGCTTTGGCTGGTCTCTGGAGGAGAGCTGAGGAAAACTTTGCAAACATGCCTTTCCTGGACCCTGGGCATTGGTGTGTCTCTGGGGTGGAGGGTGGATGAGGGGTGTGCTGCTTTGGGGCTCCATCACTTATACAGGCGCACACACAGCCCCACGCTGTGCATGGAGCTGGCAGGAACACACCTGAGCACCCCACAGGTCCTTTGGAAGCATCATGAAAAAGGTGTGAATTTGGGATCAGGAAGAGCCCTGTGTTGATCCTGCAACCCTGCTCCCCATCCCTCCAGGAAATGCTGGACATCATGAAGTCCATCTATGACATGATGGGCAAATACACCTACCCGGCCATGCGGGAGGAAGCACCCCGGGAGCACGTGGAGAACTTCTTTCAGGTGAGCCGAGCACATCCTGGGCAAGTAGAGCTCTAGTACAGAGCCAGTGGCTGCCCAGAACCTGGCACAGTGCAGGAGAAAATGCCCCACAGTGGGGATGAAGCAGGGCTGTGCTGGAGCCAGGGAGGGGAAAGGCCATCCTGGTCCTCTGAGTGCTTGGGGAAGCGTGGGGCAGAGGTGGGCTGTGGCTAGCCCCTGCCAGACCCTGTCAGCCTGTGCTGGGCTCCTCCTGGGGCTGGGGCTGTCCCTGTCCCTGCCATGCCCCCTGTGCTGTGCTTCTCTGCAGAAAATGGACCGAAACAAGGACGGCGTGGTGACAATCGAGGAGTTCCTGGAGTCCTGCCAGAAGGTAAAGCCACCGGGCACTCTGCTCTGGAGCTGGGCCATCACCTTGTCCCCTGAGGACCTCTATCCCCCCACTGACCTCCTGGCAGAGAGGGGGACAAGGCAGGGCTTCCAGGGGCAAGGCTTGGACTTAGCTTTGGGAACGGCATCTGTGCTGGGATCCCTGTGCAGAGGAAGAGAGCCGTGCAGCTCTGCAGGGCTTGAACGCTGCCTGTAGTCCCTGGGGGGGTTCTTGTCCCACGGGTCAGAGCCGCCATGAGGGCAAGGCCAGGTTTGGGGGGAGCTGCACAGACTGCTGTTCCCTACCCAGCCCGCCTACTTCCCACCTGCAGGACGAGAACATCATGCGATCCATGCAGCTCTTCGACAATGTGATTTAGCTCCCAGGCCTGCCTCCAGCTGAGCTCTCCTGCTGCCGGGCCCAGAAACTGCTTCTCTCTTGACTTTTCCTTCGCGCCTCCCCTCTGCCGGCTGCCCAGCCACC